CTCTTCCATATGTGGCATCTGAAATTTAGCATTCCTCTACCTTTTCCCTACTTTGCTTATTCTCAAATGCTGTAAATAATGCTACCTCTCGCCAATGTCTAATTAAGAGGCATTCCTACGGAGTAGTCCTCAGCTCTTTTTTACTTTCTTTGGAGTTCTCATATACCTCAGAGTTTGAGCTGGCCTCTCTCAGAATGACTCACAGATCTCTTAACTCATTCCTTTCAAAGTACAGCCTCTCTTCGCCAGCTTTCTGTCCCACATAGAGGGCTTGAGCAGGACAGACTCACTGCAATCGCTACCACTGTCAGCAATCATTACCACACTAAACAAAATCTGTTAAGAAGACACTTTTAAAATGGTTGCTTTTTTTTTTTTTAAGATTTATTATATTTATTCGTACAGAACTGGGGTACAGGCCAGATGGGGAGGGTGACAGAATTCACCAGGGAACGAGGTGGTGGCAGATCAGGCAAATAGAGGAATACTCTGCTGAGGGGAGCAGCGGGCGGGTCAGGAGAGGTCTGCGGCGCCATGTGGTGGCCTCCGGGGCAGGCGGGCGGAAGTGGCTTTAGTCTCTTAGTGCAGGGAGGGCCAAAATGGTTGCTTTTTTAACATCCTTTTATTGTCATTTAAGAACTTTCAAGACATTCTCTCATTTATTTAATGATCTTTAAAGTTTTTATTAATTTTAAGAAGAATTTTTGATTAAAACTATGCTTCTTACAAAACTATGCAGAGTGTAAAGAAAATTACTGACTAAGGAGGGTGGGGGGAAGGGATGAATTGGCAGAACACAGAGAGTTTCTGTGAAGATAACTTTGTATGTTCTATAACATGTTACTGTAACATATATGTTTTATCACACATGTGTCCAAACCAACAGAATACACAGAACCAAGAGTCCTACCATGAACTAGAGAGCTCCAATGACTATGTACAGGTCTGTGTACATCCTTTAGTTGTAACAAATGTCTCACTCTGGTGATAGGATATTGGAAATGGGAGAGGCTATTTATGTGAGGAGGCAAGGTCTATACAGGGAATCTCTGTAACTGCTTTTTAATTTGGTGTGAAACTATAACTGCCCCTCCCAAAACAGTGCTTTTTTTTTTTTTTTAAACTGTAAACTAAGACCAAGATTTGAATCTGCCCAAAACAATGTAGGTCCAAATTATTACACCAAATAAATGGACCAAATTGGTTTAATGACTACCATAAACAATGTTTTGTGGCATTTAGTGTCCAGTTAAACTTTTGCCACTTGGTTCTTTGGGAAATTTTGATTAGGGTCATATAAAACAAAAACCAAAAAGATTTTAAAGGAGAGGTCAAAAAGACCTTCTTAAGTTTCACTGAAGAAGATTTCAGGTACTACAATAATTAGGGACAATAAGACAACTAAAGACACTTCAGCATGAGTTTGATCCCCATCCACACCAGAGGTGACCCACATGGCACAGCAGACCTCTCCTGACCCACCGGCTGCTCCCCTCAGCAGTGTACTTCTACGATCTGCCTGTTCTGCTCCCCGCTCTGTTTCTGGTGAATCCTCTCACCACCCCTGCACCTCTGGCCTGTACCCCAGTTTCAATATGCATAACTTTTAAATAAATCTTTAAGAAAAAAGAAAAAAGAAAGAAAGTTCACACTTCAAAGCCAGGAAACAAACACTGAACAGGAAACAACACATGGGGTTATATGTGGGCATATGTGTGGAGTTACATGTGGACATGTGTGGGGGGGTCATGTGTGGGTGGGTGGGTGGGGTTACATATGGGCAAGTGTGTGGGCTTACATGTGGGTGAGTTCTATGAGGGATTCAATAGTCTGAGAACGGAGGTATGTATGGGAACACACAGACTTTAGAATTGGTTTGGCACACCTGAGCAAGTCCAGACAAAAAACTGACCATGGCCATCATGGTGAAGATTTGGATTTATTGTTAGCACAATGGAAAAGCACCAAGAGCTATAAGCCAGGGGAAGGAGATACTTCTATTTCCTCCCTTAGGTTCCAGCTGAATGAGTCAGACAGCACATAATATTGTGGCCAGTGATCTTCAACAGAACAAAGTCACCTATCACTTAAATCTAAACTCCTGTAAGAAAAACAATAAGGAGCTAGGACAGCATCATTTAACATCAAGTTCAGTTACTAGTTTTAATTATTACCAATTTCTTCATCAAAAAGTTAGGCCCTGCCTTCTAGTTCTTATGATGCCATAACATATAGAAAAGCACTTTTGGGACAAAAACAAAATCGCCAGAGGCAAAAATGGTATAGGCAGGATTTTCTGAATATCTGCAATTTTTTTTTGAAGTTGGTTACTAAATATTTTATACATAATGATAGATAGAAAGCTTTGAAACAGATATTATATAAAAAGGCAAAGATACATTAAGTAATTATCTGAATACTATATAAAAGCTGTAAGTAAGAAGTCATATAAAATTGAAGCTAGAAGCTCTGGCAATAGGTAACGAAATGCCATTCTCACAAAAGATCTAATAGAGGAAAATGTTCTTTCATCGTGTGCAACATTCCATTCTCTTAGAAGCCTGTGAAAATAAGTAGTCATTGTGAGATTAATTTTTAACAGGTTAAGTCTTGCTAAATCTTGCTAGTTGTGTTCAGTTTGTAATAAAGTAACTTTTCATTAAATTGATTATTAACAATTATATACTCAAAGTGAATAATCACAAACAGCTATGCAGGCATTTTTGTTTACTTTTTTATGTGCTTACAAGTAACATGGCAATTATTTATTAATGTCTTTTCATTAAAAGATCTTGGAATTTAAGGTGGTTAATATCTGTATATGACCTAATTTAATAGTGCAAAGGGAAAAATGCCATACTTCCTATGCTGTTCTTTATTTGAAAAATATAAACAGTTAAAACTTTTAATCACATAGAAAATATGCCTAAAATTTTGACGGGATATATGCAAAACAGTTCCTTGTTTCTGTCCTCCCCCACTTCCTTCAACCACCCATGAAAATAAATCAAGCCGTTTTCTTTATACCAATGCTATTCTTTGACAATTTTTGCTAATTCTTTCTAGTATATGCAATCATCCAACTCAGTTATATACTGTTTTTTACAAATCTTAAAATTCAGATTTGAAAAATGAAAGACTTAGTTGTTTACTTAGGGAATCTATAAAAAAAATGAAACACACACACACATACACACATGACTTTTACATAGGTAAACCACTAATTAAGTCCAGTGTTTGACTGTCCAGTTGCTTATAAAATGAGTCGTTCAGTTGCCACAGATTCCCTTGTGGGAAGAATGTGTAAAAGGTTTCAACTACATGGAGAAACCCATGAAAGACATATATTAAAATAAACAAACATACTAGAAAGGTGATGATTCTTCAAGTAAATATGACAACCCCATTAAAATGCAACACACGTTTATTTTTCCTGCAAAAAGGAAATCTAAGAAGATGAAATAGATGCTTTATATAAAATATTTACATATACAATGCACAAAACCCACCACGGTTAGTAACCTTTATGGCTTTGAAGAACTACATATTTACATATCCTTCTTTCTGCATGTGCGTGTGCGTATGTGTGTTTTGTATATATTTTTAACAGTTGACAGCTGTTTTAGAGCATACAGAGATGCCAAGCTGAATGAGGGTCTTGATTACTTCAAGATTAGCTATCTAAAGTTTCTATTCATTTTAAGTGTTGTTAGTTGGAAGAGTCATTAGTCACTTCCTTGTCTCATAGAACATCAGCATACATTTACATTGTTAATGAACATTTGGGGTAAATGAATTAATGGCACTTTTAAACATCAATTCAGTCCTAATAACTTTGTATGTCATAGAAATGTTAGGCTAGGATATAAACGAAAGCCTTTTCAGTAAAGGTAACTACTCATTCCTCCAAACAATAATGGATAAAATTAATTTAAAATATTTTTTTAAACTGGGCTTTAAAAAAAAAAACACTCAAAATTTAATGATATAGACCTGAGAAAAATGTGTACTTAAAAAACAAAAACAAAATCCCTCTGTTCAAAAATAATTATATAAATCAGAAATAGCATGAAAAATTTTGGTGAAACTAATTTATATACTTATTCAAAACATTCCATTTTTATAATACCTATTATAAAGAAGTGCTTGCAAAATAATTTGGCTTATTTAATTATAGGTGCGTCGGCATTACATTTAAGAAAAAAAAAAACATAACCAGGAAAGATTTCTTTAAAATTTTAAAATACTTGAAACTGAAGTGGGACAATAATATTTTCATATCATCAGAACCTTAAACAATGGCCCTTTGGAGAACAACCAGTTAAAAGCAAATATAAAAATAAATAAAATTGCAAAAATACGTTTAAGGGCAAATACTAGTTCCATTAAAAATAACTAATGACATTTTATGATGTAGGAGGTATTAAAGATGCACAATATAAGCACACTCCATAAAGAAAGCAAGTTAAAAAAAAAAAGAAATAAACACTTTAAGAATCCATTTTTTTTTTTAAATCCCAAAATGTGAGTTTATGGCAAACCTGTATAACAATACAGGGAAAAAAAGTTATTTGAAGCACACAAAACACATATGGCTTATTCTATGAGTGAAAAATCACAAGCAGTTAACTGAGTCAGTGAACTAACTTTAAGAAATATTTAATAAATTATTTAAAATATGGGTAACACTTCAAAAATTCTCACAAACTATTTCCTTCTAAGATATATTATTGATACTGCAAAAATAATACAGAGTTGTAATACATACCCATTTGACTATTTGTAGGGAGACCCTGAATATAGTTTTTCTTTTAGTCTATTTTAATCATTTCAATGCCCAGATTTAGTAGGACACAAATTCAATTATTAAGAAAATAACAGGGCCCTCCCTGGTGGCGCAGTGGGTCAGACACAGCACTGCAAGCCAGCTGCAGCCGCCTCAGTGTGAACCCCTGCTTGGTTACCAGTGACTGCAGAATGCATCTGCCTGTAAAACTCACCTCCAGTCTTGTTTGAATAACTGGACAAGGGGTCGACGCCCACTTCTTGTTCTTCTGATTGAAGAGGATGCCTCGCTTCAGATAAGGAATGATACATTGTGTGGACTGGACAGTATCTTCAAAAGTGACCACCTGGGAGGTGAAAAATACAAAGAAAAATGATGATCTTTTTTTCTTTCTGCTACAACTGGGAATAAATACAAGACTAAAATAACTGAGCCTTACAAACATTTCCACAGGGTCCTCCCTGGTGGTACAAAGAATTAAAGCACAAGTCTATGAAGCCATCCACAGCCACGTAGGTAGATTGAGTTCAATCCCTGACCAGCGAGGTGACCCACATGGTGCAGCACACCTCTCCTGTCTTGAGCACTGCTCCTCTCAGCAGTCTATTTCAGTAGATCTGCTTGTTCCGCACCCCATCTGTCTCTGGTGAAGACTCTCACCCCACTGCTCCTCTGGCCTGTACCCGAGTTCTTGTTAACATAAATAAATAAATCTTAAACAAATTCTCCACAGGCCCCAGGACTGTGAATCCATACCCAATGAAGCAAGAGTAGCATAAAGTTTTCATTTTTTAAAATTTCTCCCCAAATCTTAATGTCATAGGTATACTTTACCTCAATGTTTAATCACATTTATTTCAATAAAATTTTTGCACATGTTAAATTTTCAGTTGTCATACATAAAATCCTTCGTTTTATCAAAATAACACTTTTGACAATATAAAGACAAAAATCTAGAAAATACAGAACTCTAAAATCACACATTAAATTTATACACTGCAATTCATATATCTTTTTTGTCTTTTTTTCTGAATATCTAAAGTCATACATCATGCTAAATATACTGATTATAACAAATGCCATATTATCACATCTGATGGATGTCTAATATTCCATTTCATAGCTACAGCAAATTACATAACCAATTTCTTATTAATAAAGAGATGCTTTCAGTTGTTCAATATTATTAATAGCCTCATAGTGAATATCTTTCATTATTATGATATCACATCCATTTTTATTTCCTTAGAATAAGTTTTATAATTTTTGAGCCAAAACATATATTAAGAATAAGATTTTGGGATAAGTTTGGCAAATTACAAAGAACTGTACATAGCAGAACAAGTTATTTCCCCTGGAACTGCATTAGCATTGGAAATGAGTAATTCATTTTTTCCTTTCGAAACACAGTAAATTTTACGGTAAATTTTACACTGCCTTTGCTCAACAACAAGTGTGATTACAAGTGTGATTACTTCATAAGTTCTCTCTGACATTTGCTTATTGTCTTTTGTGGGTGGAGCTTATTGTTATGATTATTTTCATAATTTGCAACTATAGTATTAAAGGTATTAAACCTGTGTTATAGGGTGCATATATTTTTCTGAAGAGTATATGTCTTCCAATTATATGGTATTTTTGTGACAACAGTTGCAATTTTCTACATCCAAATATATCTGTATCTCTTTCATGGTTTCTAGCTCTGGTATTATGCTAACAAAGGGGAGATTATATAAGTAGATGTATATAAGTATATACATATATACACACACATATGTATATACACACATATTTTCCTTTTTAAGGTCTTCCTGTTAAATTCTCACTTCTCTAAATAATTTCAATTCCAAGAAATACTTTAAAATACAATATATTGATGATCACATAGTCATTCAAGATGCTCAAAGATATTTAAGATTTTTACCTGAAGGAAAACTGATTCAAGAAGTCATACAGTGATTTTAACTTTAACAATTCTTTAGAAACTGAAAAGTCTCAGGTAATACATAATAAACAGAACACAAAATAAACCAAATACACCAGTCTACAATTCTATACAATCAGGCATCCTCTATAATTTACTATACTTATCAATTCATACTGAATCATTAACATGCTTTTATAATTAAATAAAGCAAGCCTGCTTAATAGGAGTAATGAGTTATTTTCATGAACTCTGTGGGAAAAGTTTGGATGATGTTCTTTTAAATTAATGAATTTCAATGACAATCTCATTCAAAAATAAAGTAGTAAGCAGGTGCCACCTTTCTTTTGGATTTGTTATATTGGCTTAAATACAAAGGGCTATTTTTGCTTTCTAGAATAAAAACACACTTGAGTGTGTTGGCTACTACTACTGTGATTACCTTATGAAATCATAACATGATGTTGCTTTTAAATGTGAAGTAAATTTCTTAAAAAAGTTTTCAATTCCTGGCCCTCCCTGGTGGCGCAGTGAGTTAAAAGCACAGCACTAAAAAGCTAACGCCACTTCTGCGTGAGTTGGATCCCCGCCTGCCCCAGAGGTGACCACAGGGCGCAGCAGACCTCTCCTGACCCGCCTGCTGCTCCCCTCAGCAGTGTATTTCGCCCATCTACCTGTTCTGCTTCCCACTCTCGCTGGTGAATCCTCTCACCGCCCCTGCACCTCTGGCCTATACCCAGTTCTGTATGCATAAATAAATAAATCTTAAAAAAAAAAAAAGTTTTTAATTCCTGTTCCATGAATACATGAAAATACTTGACTACTGTCCATGGCCTTTAAACAACTCTATTTAGTCACTAATATAAATAAATAAATGACCTATATTTAGTAAAATTTCATACACAGAATTAAGGAAACATTTTTTTTTTTTTGGTCTACAAAGCTTCAGATAATAACTGTGAAAGTCAAAACAGCATGAATATTTTATAACCCACATCGAGTCATGACACCTTATATTTGTACTATAAATTCAGATATCTATCCTTAGGTGCCTTAATCTTTTCTAGACCCAGATATTGGAAGTGACCAAAAATATATACCTTAGTGAAAATGACTACACAATGCCATAACTGATGGGTTTCAAGGTTTTAAAATAATGACAATCTGTCTCTAAAATTTCTTAGACTGACAAAAATGCTACTGAGATTTTTTTTTTTTTAAGATATTTATTTGTGCATACAGAACTGGGGTACAGGCCAGAGGCTCAGGGGCGGCGACAGGCTTCACCAGAGACAGAGCGGGGAACAGAACAGGCAGAGCGATGAAGTACACTGCTGAGGGGAGCAGCGGGCGGGTCAGGAGAGGTCTGCCACACCATGTGGTCACCTCCCAGGCAGGCGGGAATTGAGCTCATGCGGAAGTGGCTTTAGCTTCTCCGTGCTGCGCTTTAACCCGCTGCGCCACCAGGGAGGGCCGCTACTCAGATTTTTAAGAAATAGTCATGCCTTTCCAATTTTAAAAGCATGATACACTTCCCAAGACCTGAGTATACACCTTTATATTCTTTGCTACACATATGTTAAATAACGGTTTAACTTTCCTATGTCATATGAACTCAAAATTCACAAACTCAAAACCAACTTTGTAATACAGTTTTACTACTATCCAGGCCACAGGACTTGGCACAGAAATGCCATTGAAAATCCAAAACTGAACTTAAGGACAAATTGTATTGGTTTCACAAACTGGTTCTTTTGGCATTAAATATTAGGACAAAGTGTCCTATCTAAAAGAAGGGATGTCTCGTGAAAATAGTTAATTATTTTACAAAAGGATAAGAGTTTAGGAAAAAAGTTTAGGATACAGTTCTGCAGATTAAATAAAATTTCAAAACAATATTTCCATGAAACTGAAGTACTGAGCAGTTTGTTTGTTTGTTTGTTTGTTTGTTTAAGATTGATTTATTTATCCATACAGAGCTGGGGTACAGGCCAGAGGTGCAGGGGCGGTGAGAGGATTCACCAGCGACAGAGTGGGGAGCATAACAGGCAGATGGAGGAAGTACATTGCTGAGGGGAGCAGTGGGCGGGTCAGGAGAGGTTTGCTGCACCATGTGGATCACCTCTGGGGCGAGGGGGGATCCAACTCATGCGGAAGTGGCTTTAGCTTCTTAGTGCTGTGCTTTAACCCACTGAGCCACCAGGGAGGTCCCGTAATGAGCAGTTTTAAAGTGAACTTCAAATAATTAGCATTGCACAAATAAATAACTGAATAAATGGTCTCTTAAAATGGCATCACATAGACAAAACCTCCAAAAATAATTTATCCCCTCTGAATCTGAAGTTCTGTGTATTTCAGCTTGTATTCATTCTTTCACTGTTTCTAATACATAGGAATAGAATTAGCATTCTGAATTGTGTGTTCTAAAGGCATCCATATTCAGAAAAGCTCATATAAGCATACTTCATTCATTTAAATTCTTGACTGATGGTAAACTTAAAAGTCAAACACTGAAATGACAGAGTAGTAGTACTTTACATAAAGATATCTCCTATAAGAAAAGCATATCAAAGAGCTTAAATAAACTATTTCCAAAGAATGATTATAAAAGGAGAGGAGCTAGCATGAATAAATATGTGTTACAGGCAGAATGCGTTTACCACGTTAAGTATATAACCTAAAATATGACATCTTGGTTGTAAAGCAAGAAAGTTTAATAATAAGAACTGTATTTTCATAATTGAAAGACTAACTGAACACTATAGCCATTTGGCAAAGACTTTTTAATTTAGAAATGTTGGATACTAATGGCTTGGGCTGGTTAATGATTAGGAGTAATGATGCTCTAAAGTCTTAACTACAGGGACAGAAATAGGGGAAGAAAGGAAAAACTGTGAAAGAAAACAGCAAAAGAACAAAGTTCTTAATTTTAAATTCTGCCAATCTTTAATGCAAGAGGGTTACATTGGACTTTAACTAAGTTAATTAAGTATTAAAATCAATCATCTGAAAGTCTTAATATTTAATATTGGTTAGATTGTATATCAAAGTAGTTTTATTATTTATTTACTCCAAACCTTTCCAGAATACTTCATCTGACAACAGGGGGTCTGTTTCTCACAAGATAAATGCATTTACAATGCCAAATAAATTATATATAAAAGCATTTGTCTTAATACATGTCATTCAATATTAAATATCACCCATTGGTAAAATCCTGAAACCCTGATTTATTCTTACCAACCACACAACTGTACTATTTAAGTGTTGTCTGTAAATAGGAATAGGATTATAATAAAGGTCAAAATACTAAGAACAATGACTACAGAAAAATTAAGAGATTTAAATTGTGTAATTTTCAAGCTATCAAAATAAGTGGTTAGCGTACATACTCTATCACAAAATGACAGGTTCGTAAACCA